CAAGAGCACATAGATAGCAACCGGCGGAAAACTGTCCGAACAAACGAATGAAGTATTTAACATGGATGCATTTGAGAAGATAAATTATTTCACATCCTAATAAATGACATAACAGAAACGACAGAACTTTGTACTTACAATTATTCTCCGAGATTTGAAATGTTAATAACGCCTAAATAAAAGCTAAGACTATTGGGGATTTTGCGACTGACCTCTCCACTGGATTGCCGTACCTTGCTGAGGTCTTAAGTTTGTTTGAGGATTCACGTTAAAGTTCCCAGCGTTTTTATCTACCAATCCTTGAGGATTTCTTCCCTGTTGCTAGAATAAGTTCTGCAATTGATTCCATTTTTTCTTTTTCTTTTTGCTGCGGCCGGGTTTATGTTGGAAAGAGCCCATCCCATGCTCCACACCGACGCTTATGCGCTGTTGATAACCGAATGTCTGCATCATGGTCTGTGATTTCGAAGCTTGTTTCTGAGTAACTTCAACAGAATCCGACACGCGTGAACTTGAATGAGTTCCTTCTCCTTTATCAGGAGTTGAATCCGCTTGGGTATCCACGTCTTCTCCGAATTCCAAAGCACTGAAGTCACCAGTTTTTGACGGAGGGGTAGCACTCGAAGAGTCTTGCGGCATCTCAGTGTCTTCACTACAGGTAGAGAATCCCTGAGAAACGGGCGGAGTTCTGGATTCAGATGGATAGAGGGGCTTGGGGGAGTCCTGTAAACTCTTCATGATGGCATCTAATTTTCCTGGAGAACCGATGTTCTCAATAGGAGTCCTACAGAAATACAATCATAGATCAGATCAGAGATTCAAAGACCATTAATAGAGTAACTTTTAATTGAGTTTCCAAAGTAATCTGGGTTTGTACTGGTTTTACTCTACTCTGCTCTATGATTGGTCCGAAAAAACTCGCGTCACTCTCTCGACCAATCAGATGCAAAACTAAAATCAATCACGACTTGGTCGCCCGCATTTTCCTGCCTTTTGGGCGGTTTGCTTGTTTTTACTCCGAGTTCTCATTGGCTCTTCAGGATATTTTCCATTCTTCTTTCCATAATAAGTACTTTGGTTTTGTTTTAAGGCACTCAATCGAAAAACGCTCTATCAATGGTAACCCTTAATTTCCAAGCCCAGACGGTATAAAAATTCATCTTCTGAACGTAGAAATTCTTCAAACCTGTTCTTTTTTTCAATCACTTATTCAATTTGTTGTCTCACCTTGCATGATCACCGTCACCACTTCCTGAAAAACAACATCAAATTAATCACTTTTTAACAATCAGTTTTTCCAAATTGTGATGATCCTCATGGGAAGTTAAGTTCTTTCTTTCTCCCGCCCCCGTGAAACAACAAATAAAATCTGAAAAAAACTTTGTCACACACATGTTTTACACAAAATTCACCCTCTGATGAAAATGCGTAACTATATCAGGGTTCCATGGTCAAAAAACTGATCAATCAAGCAATAAACACGATCATGTAAAATATAATTTACCTACCTGCTGGGCTAGCTGCGACTAACAACTCGGCAACACGGTCTTGCTTGGCCTGAACAAAGAGAATCAGACGATCATGCAATTGAATGTCAAACAAACAACAACAACATTTAAGACCATCTACCAAATTGCAAAAGTTAAAAGCAGCAAAATGGAATGCGATACCAACACTCTGGCTAACTAAGAATAGACTCTCTTTTTTTTCAACAAGAGAGTTTCACCCTCTCCTTTTGCATCAACGATCGGCTTTAAAAAAAAGGCTAAAACGAAGACAAAATACAAAATAAATAAATAAAAACGGAGAGGAAAAATGCCCACTGTTTCGAGTGTCACTTTAATAATACTTAGTGGAGTTGCAGTTTTCTTCGGTATTCGGTAAACTTCCTACAAACAAAAAGAAGGCAAAAGATGCCCCAGTTTTAGCGCGTTAGACTCTGGCTCAAGGAGTCTGAAGTAAAGCTCTAGTTGTCGAGTCGAGTTCGCACGAGTTACAAACAACCACACCAGCTAGTAACTCACGGTGTTTTAAAAACGTATAACCTTTCTGGTAAAACTCAAAACAGAATAGAAAACTCAAAACAGAATAGAAAATTCAAAACAGAATAGAAAACTCAAAACAGAATAGAAAATTCAAAACAGAATAGAAAATCAACAGGATACCTGTACTTGAATAAGCTTTGTGTTTGAAAATTCTCTCGATTTCCGTTTCCCTCTCTTCGTTTCCTTGTACAAATTTCTATGAACGTTCCAATTTTTTCTCGCTTATTTTGCGAGATTTATTATTGTTTTCGTGTTTTCCATTGACTTTTGGGCGGGAAATTGGCGTACAGCCGACAATAATTGATCTCTTGCGCATGCCCAACGTTTGACCGCCATGTTGTTGTGTTCCAAGCTGAGACACCTTTTTTACTCCCACAATGCCTCTCTCCCCCCAGGGGTACTGGCAAGCTAGTGGGAAAGATTTGAAATGATGCGAATAGATAAGTTGTGATAGATCAGTGAACGTACCCCTAGTTGCTTGACGCACAAGAACGCAAGCATAACCACAAGCAGATGTGGTCTCTTAGCCTGTAGGACTGTAACACCCCACAACAAAAAATGTATACATCGGCAAAACAGTTCACATTGTATAAAACTATATATGAGATAAATATATAATCATTGGCAAAAAACCCTAACTCCATAAATACTCTTCAGGAATACCATTCCACAGTTTTGCCCTTGTGACTTCCCCCTTCAGTCTCTCTTCAAAATTTCTGACAAACCAAACATCATTGTACATGTACACTATATCACATCTTATGTTATAAAACAATACACCCTTTCTTAAGGATAAGAGTTCTCAAATATTAACTCAAATCAGCTTCATATACAATTTTTTTAAAATGTTACTAGTGAGCTGTAAATGCGCCGCTTTGAATTTAATTGTAATTGAGCCGCTAGGTGTGAGTGAGCCGCCACAATGGAATATGTGTGATATTTTCGGGAAGGATGACAGTGCACCATACGTAACTAATTTGTTTTGTTACGTTATTTTCCCTCGTTCAAAGAGCTACAGTAAGAGGGGTTTTTTTTAAGGATATTGCATTTAACCGTGATTCATCAACGCACATGAACATTTTTTAAAAATAATTTCCCGAATGAAGGAGAAACACTATAGAGTTAACACCTGATCATTTTGTCATCAAAGTCCTTCCTTGTAATAAAGGGTGCTCCTAATAAATAGATTACTTTCGTCAAAAACAGTTAGCCAATTTTGTTTTGACTTTCGTAACACTATCAGGTAGTTGAGAATAAGAAAAACGCCTAACGCCAAATAAAGCTTTTCAGAGTCTGTTTATTAACGAGGTAGGAGGCGCATGTATTCAAATTATTGTTGTTTTAAGAACAAAAGGCAGACGCGCGAAATGACGCTAAAATTAATGATTGTTTACGCAAAGTTTTTAACAACATGGGTAGTTTGCATAACAACTGATTGAAAATAACCTATCAGGTTACGGGATTTTCGATCCGACTTGATCCGAAGAGGAGTATTAAAGCCAAAAGCTTCAATAACTTCTTCATTCGTCATTAGTTGGCCGTCATTATCAAAATGGAACAAAAAATCGCAAGAGTTACTTGGAAGCGTGGTCAGTATTCGGATGTTTTTCGCTCGACCATCACTGACCCTTCCCCTTTGAAAAAGGGCCAGAAAGTGAATGTAATATGGGGTAGAACTCACAAAGAGTATAGTGCTGTGATAGAGTGCTATCCACTAGAGGATGAGGCAAGTGAAGAACCCGACCTCCCACCGCGTCGAGCACACGCGAAGAGAAAATTGGTAAGTTATTGTGTCTAGTTAACCCTTTTTACCCTAACATCAGTATTCACTAACGTGCTGACAATTCCCTTTATCCCCATGACATTGATATGTGATTCAGTAGTGATATTGTAAGGATGCTAGTCACTCTAAGGGGATAAAGGGATAAACTAATTTTGCTCGAACTTCTCACTAACTCTAATTTGATCAGACTTCCTTTTGAATTAAGTGAACATTTCTTAGCTCTAATGTACTTTGTCTTATTCGAAGATTCCAGAGTCACCCCCTGAAGCATGTAAAAAACCCAACAAGAAAGCGAGAAAGCAGAAAGAAAAACCAAAAGGAAAAGTAAGTGCGCTAACTGAATATTTATCAAAGTGGATGTTCCCTGTAGAGTAATGGTAGTTAATCGCGCAATAACAAATCCCAGATCCATTTGAAGGTTTTTGGCAAGTTAAAGCGTTTTTAGCAGTTTCTTTAAATTTCAACGTTTGAACCAGTGTTTTTTGTATTTTCCGAATTTGCTGATTTTGTCGTAGTGCGGTCTGATAACGTTATTTAAGAATTTTTATTTCGCTGTCACAAATTTCAGCTGCCATTTGATGGTTTTTGAACCAGTGTTTTTTGTATTTTCCGAATTTGCTGATTTTGTCGTAGTGCGGTCTGATAATGTTATTTAAGAATTTTTATTTCGCTGTCACAAATTTCAGCTTCCATTTGATGGTTTTTGAACCAGTGTTTTTTGTATTTTCCGAATTTGCTGATTTTGTCGTAGTGCGGTCTGATAATGTTATTTAAGAATTTTTATTTCGCTGTCACAAATTTCAGCTTCCATTTGATGGTTTTTGAACCAGTGTTTTTTGTATTTTCCGAATTTGCTGATTTTGTCGTAGTGCGGTCTGATAATGTTATTTAAGAATTTTTATTTCGCTGTCACAAATTTCAGCTTCCATTTGATGGTTTTTGGCAAGTTAAAGCGTTTTAAAAAACCATAACTAGGTTTAGAAACTCCTAAAACTTATAGTAGCGTATCGATATTTCCTGTCAGTTTTCTCAGGTACACATTCTGCTCGGGTAGCATTGCATTCATTTTATATGAGCAAAGTCAAAGTCTCCTAACTTAATGCTAAATTTTCCTTTTTCAAGTGGTTTTATAGTACAGGAAGCATACATTTTTGTGCCTCACATGCGTAAAACTGAATAACAAACTTTGATTATGGTTAAATCTTGTAAGATTTTAGATACAGCATCGCCTTCATCAGTTGTGATCTCTTCGTCGGATTCATCTGATGGTGAAGAAGATGGATATCCTTTGTCCTCCATAACAGTGGTGGAGGCTGAATCTGATAGTTTTTTGCAAGAAGACATTGGAATTACCTCAGACCTAGTATCCAAAGCCATCAGGACTATTGACAATACAACAAGTGTAAGTCATAACCTAAAAAAATTTTCATCTTCACTTAACCTAAACTTCAAAACATGTCACTTTAAGCATTTAGGCCATTTCGTCCATTGGAATAAAAAACGGCTTTGAAACAAATCAGGGTTTCAAACTTAACTTTACACTTTTGGATTTGACATGCGTAATATTTTTTATATAGTGGACGAACCAGAATGACTACGGCACTCAAATGATGGCGACTGAAGAACTTCAGTTTATCAGGACTGTCTTGGGCAGGCTTGAGTGCTCCTTTGCCAGGCAGGAGGCCAAGATGGATCGCATCCTAACCTTGCTGACATCTTCAACTTCTTTGCTGCAAACTCCCCTGCGTCCGTCCTTCACACCAGTTAACTCACATTTTACGACGCCATTGCCGACCGATTCTTCCGCTGAATTTCCACCGCCCCCTGTCACGCCTAGGCCGCAGGACGTGGAAGTTCGTTGTCCAGATCAGTCCTCTTCAATGTGCAGTCCTATGGAAGATGGTAAATAATATCGTTTATTTTACTTGTGTGAAGGAAAAATACCCAATAGAAATCCGTGAACTTGCCTGATCCTTCACACTCTTGCTGAGTACTAAATTAGTTTTAATGGATAAAACTATTTTGAGAGTGAAACTTACCTGTTTTATATGTTTTTTTTAAGGAACTGGTACAGTTGCAGTTGGAGGAAATGCTAATGTGCGGCTGACAAAATCTGACTACAATTTTGCGAAGGCCGCCTCCAAACCCACCGTCATGAGCCTTCGTCTAGTTGACCACCTCTTTACAAAAGACACCCTTACGAAGTCAACTGTTCAGGGTACCAAGGAATTTTCTCCCCTTGACCGAGACAAACTTGATGCAATTAAAAGTGAGTAGATGAATATTTATTGTTAAAAACTGAGCAGATATGGAATTTGTTTTCTTAAAATCGTAATGTATAATTTGGGGCTGACTTTATTCTGTTTGAAAGGAACTTCTAAATAACCTTTAGCGGATTGCAGTTATTTATTTATGTTGGTGGTTAGGAAGCCAGGATGAATAGCCGGTTTATTTGTCAACATTGATTAATCGCTGTTCATTTGCATTCTTTTCAGCTGAAGTGCTGACCGCCTTTTCTTATCAATGCCGGGGAATGGAAGACGTTCTACGGATGTGGGAACAGTGCAAAACAAGTATTGGAAAAAGATGTCAGAATTTACGAAAAAATAGAGCAATGTGACTAAACTAGTTTTTGTTTTCAGTCGTCGCCAATTGGTATTCAGTGTTTTGTTGTGAAGAATAAATATTTCCGAACAAACATGGTGTTGTGATATCTGGAAAGCATGCTGCAATCAGCGATATGGGTGATGTCTATTTGCGCACGGGATCGAAAACGAATAACGAATAAGCAAGGAACATTCTTCCCAATAGAAAACGTTTGAAAACACACTAAAGACATTCTCTGCTCCGTCTGGTTAAAAAGCGTTGTACTTAGGTTAATTTTAAAAACTATTGCAATCATTTGAGAGTTTATTTCCATGAAATACATGTCTCTTGGTCAGAATTGCTATTCATCCCGATTTACTTTCATTGTTGTAAACTGATCGAACTCTGAATTGGATATGATGGTTTAGGCCTCTTTAAACGTCAGGAAACTGAAGTTGATGTGACGCTTGGGACAATTTTTCCGATTTACTTTCGTTGTCAAACACAAATCGAGCCCAGAATCGGGCGTGATGCTTTTCGATATTTTGACCTTTTGTCTACTGTGTCTCTGTCCCAGTGACTGAAAAAGACTGGAAATACGTTTATATGTATATTTCGTGTTGCTTACACGAAAGTAAACAAACTTGAGTACTCGCGAAAGTCTATTGTCAGTTCGAAGCGAATTTTCGAACACTAATGATCGAAGAGACACTTTCCGCCGCGAAGTTTCGCTTTGAGGCGAAAATTCAACGAAAAAGCGCCCTTTGTTCAAACGAAATGTCGCTTAAGAGGCCTCGAACTTTCGATCGAATTTTCGCTCGAACTTTCGACGAAAGATCGTTAGAACAAATAACGAAATTCGCCGTATTCCGCTTGCATTACTTTTGCACAGCACTGTAAATACTCTTCAGGAATACCATTCCACAGTTTTGCCCTTGTGACTTCCCCCTTCAGTCTCTCTTCAAAATTTCTGACAAACCAAACATCATTGTACATGTACACTGTGCATGTTGATAGTTGAAACACTAACAAATCCTTGACGTGCATACAATTCTTGCTACACTGGTGTAGCAAATTTGCTTTCTTGTTGAACATTTTCTGGAATGATCATTCCTGTAATTCTCCTGAGCTACTATATAACTCTACAAGGAGAAAGTACACATTGATCTTACCTCTAACTGAAGTTTCATTTTCTTTCCTCCACTGTCCACCATCCAGCTCCAAATTAGAGAAAGCCCCTGATACCTGAGGAACCCTTTTAAACATGACTGGTCTGTGGTGTGCTATAAAAACAAAACAAAAAACAATCAAACAAACTTGTAGACAAAGAGCACAAATTTTAAGCAATTGAAAAACCACATTTATATGCTACAGAATGTTATGACTGTAACTCTTCATCTGTATACAGCTGTTTTCAAGAAAGGTTGTTGGAAAAAGGACAAAATTACACAAACAAACTTGTTGGTCATCTGGGGTTTGGTGATCAATGAATTTTAATAAGTCAAATAAATAAATATATTCATCAAACCCACCATGCCTCTTCCTTACAGGGATGCTTTCTCAGATTTGCTACTGTAAAATCCTGAGGTCTAGTGACAGTGACCTGGAAACTACCCGCAATACTTTTTGTGGTTATCTTGTACTCTTAAATGCTATTTTCCAACAACTTTGCCTGTTTATACAAACTTTTATTTAATCCATACATGGATATTTTAAGCAAGTCCATACACAAAGAATAAAAATCCACACATGCTACTCTATGCCAAGTTTTTCATTTGAATAAAAGCTCTTGTTTTCAGCAAGATTTAATTCTGCCAACCTTCTTTGAGAGGGATTCTACAAGAGACACATGGAACTGGTTATCAAATACCTGTAGGATTTTCAGAAGCATTATCCTCTGTTCCATAGTCTCTGCCCGCACCATCAATCTGGACAGCCTCAATGCCTGGTTACTGTGTACCAACCCTCTGTGATCACCTGGAAGTTTCTCAACCTCATCTTCCAACTTAAAACAAAATTAGAGAATAATGTCTTTTGGTGAAAAAATTGATTGTAACAACAGCTTTGTGAAACAAAAAAAAGTGCCACAAAGTTCAGTTGCAAATTCATATCATAGACATCAACTTGCAATCTGGTAGGTGAAATAATATGGAATTTCATCAATCATTACGCTAGATCATGTTTTCTAAAACTGCCTCAAATTTGACAAAAGTTGTGACCCATTTTTAAGCCCATTTTTAAAGGGAATTCCCCTTCACTTCCAAGTGGTTATTTACTAATAGAACTCTGTATCTCATAACAGAAAACATACATGCAAATGAGCAATCTCATCTGGGACAAGCTCAAGAACAAAATTCATTTCATCAAATTCATTTGACAAATTCCTTGTTTGCTTTTTACATCTCCTCCTTGGTGAGCTTGTGATAGGTGGGGTTGCTTACATAGAGAAAGAAAAGAAAAGCACAAATTACACCTAAATTGTGTGACCTTATACCTCTACAGTCTAGCATCAGTATGCAGATTCTCTGTACTGTTCTCTATACATTTCATAAGGTGCTGACAAGGAGAGTTTGTTTAAAAGATCTGATTGTTAATTCTCCCCTCTAGCTGCTACACATTTCCTTGTAAATTAGTTACAAGAATTTGATGTTAGATCAAGATAAAAACTTAAACCTGATAAGTTTGAGTATTCTCATTATTGATTTATTGGATAGTCTATGGATATTAAAGGGAGAAGTTATATTTCAATACTTCTGGGAGTTAATGGGTAAATGTGTGACTCAGGGGGGATATCACAGGGAGAAAGTAAATCCTGGTCACTCTCAGGGTTGTAATTAAAAATCTTTTTGCATACTTATTCTTTCCACTGTGTTCTTCAGAGGTGTTTGCTTGTCTCCTCCAATAAATCCACGACAATTTGGTGCTTCACATTATGGCAAATCTGAGCAACTTTCCTGATTAATGACAAAAATTATAACTTACTATGAATTTTTTGTAAGCCTCTCCTTCCAAGTTCAGAAGGGATCATCTTTCTGTGTGACTGCTGTAAAGTTCCTTAAATTTTAAAATCTCTCAGTTTAGTGTCACCTACAGACATGAAGCTTTGACAGTAGCATGTACATTGCTCATCTACCCGTAATGCTGCAGTTTATAATCAAACGTGAGCTCTGCACCAGCTGGGATAGGTCTCTGAGTAAAAAAAATCCAATCCTCAACAAGCCATGGACAGTCCACTATGAGAAGCAAAAGAACAAAACCCACTCAGTTCTTATCTTAACCCTTTACACCCAAACATCAGTATGCACACTCTCCATACTGCTCTCTAAACAATTCCTAAGGGGCTGACAAGGAGAATTTGTTCAGCAATCAAGAACTTCTTCAGTTACTGATCATTTCCTTTATTCTCATGACCTACAGGTTTGATTCAGGGGTAATATTGTGGGGAGAAATTGGATGCTAGTCACTCTTAAGGGTTAAAGGATTTAAGTACAGCTGTAGATGTGTTTTCTTTCAGTTTCCTGTCAATCAATCTACTATAGATTACCCCTGGAAAAAGAAGTGAAAAGCTGGCATTATTGATCATAATATAAACTGGTAAAATGGACTGAACAATTTATTAAACTACCTTTTGAGTTTCACGGTTTGAGTCACAGCTGTGGTTGATAAACTGAGACAAGTTCCCCTTGTAGGTGGCATCAATTAGCTGAACAAAGAAGGAATTTTAAAGAAGCTATAACTCATTAAGTAACAAAACCATGAACTATAGTGATTAGTCCACCTACATGTACTGTATTACGTATAATATTTAAAAAGATGGGTTCTTATTGGAAGGACTGGGCACTGAATTGAGGGGGGTGCTAATATTACTCTCCCGTACTGATTGCCCTATGGTTGAGGCAATAGAAACAGGTTTTCCTCGTGTCCCTGTTATTTAGGAAAGTGAGGAAGGAGGGGGGAGGTGCTTCTTTTAAGATGGGTGCTTAAGGCCTGAGGGATGGACATCTATTTGGGAGAGGGTGCTTATCAGAGCTTAGGCTCTGATTCAAGGAATAAGCATATATCAAAATTTAATTTCCCACAATGGATGATTTCAACATCATTTACTCAAGCTCAATGCTAGGTGTAAGTCACATATAAATCTAGTAAACAACTGGGCTGGCTATGGAGTTCCTTGTAACTCAGTTGATAAAGAATTTGAAAATGATAACAGGCTGGAGATCATAACATTGAACTGACTGGAGTACATGCCATTTAAATATGTTCTTTGTCCACACAGTTGACAATTGAATTACAGTTAACCCTGTAACTCCCAAGATCTGATTGTTAATTCTCCCCTGTAGCTGCTTCACATCTCCTTGTAAATTGGTTATGAGAACTTGGTGCTAGATCAAGATAGCAGCTTCTCCCTGATAAGTTTGAGTATTCTCATTACCTGTTTGCTGAATAATGTGTGAATGTAATAGGGAAAAGTTTCTTGTCAATCACTTCTGAGAGTTAAAGGGTTAAGCAGGATTTTAGATACGAATCACAGAAGGCAGCAAGGAGGAGGGACTAAGGAGAGAAGGGATACCTCCTGACATGTGCACAACCACTTGAAGGGATCTAGGGGTACACCAACCCTCCTCCCACCCCTCCCTCCATAAAAATGCTAAAACTTGGGTCTCAGAGAATGCATTTGTGCACTTTGAAGTAATAATCAGGTTATTTCAGTGAAACTAATCATTGTCATTTCATTCAGCAAAAGGAGCAAAATCATATGAAGTGGCCTACTAGGTTAACAGACCACCAGCCCTTCTTGAAATCCTGCTCACTTTTACTAAGATGTCATAACTGTTTGGTATTGTGATCTACTGATCAATTCTGGGTTTAAAAAGCCTTGAAATGACCAAAGAATTTATCAGCACTCATCACAGCAGTGCTGTTATTGTCTCTACTTAGGAAAAGGTTAAGATTTCCACTCCTTACCTCATCAGCTTTCAATGTCATGAATTAGTAGTGTCTTCTGTTTTCTCTATCATAACGCTCTGCTCTTTCCTGGAAATCTTTATAGTTCATGACTTCTCCACAGTACTCCATACCAAATCCTGGACAACCCTGATCCCTGGACAACCCTGATCCCTGGACAACAGTTACAATTTTTAATTGAGTGACAAAAGTATTGGAGATTGTTTTTGTTTTTTGCTATACTCTGCTCTGTGATTGGTCCAAAACAAAAAAAGAAGGTGAAAACACAAAATTACTGACCTGCAAAATTGAGTACCAATAAGGCATTTCTTTCCTGAAGATAAAAGTAAAAATATAAACTTACAGTTCCAGATCTTCAAGAGTTCTCCATTCCCAGCCTTTCTTCTCTGTTTTAAACACTTCAACTTTCACTTTACAGCCCTGCAAAAAGTGCTGTACATGTACATAAATTTGAAATCCTCTCATGGCTGATATCAGCATATAAGAATCATCTCTCATGAAAGCATATTTAACTCCCAGAAGTGATTAAGATGAAACTTCTCCCTGTAATATCCATATATCATCCAGAAACAGGTAAGGAGAAAACTCAAACTTATCAGGTAGAACTTGTTAAATTGATTGAACACCAAATTCTCATCACTACTTTAAAATGAAATTTGTAGCAGCTAGAGGAGAGAATGAACAATTAGATCTTGGGAGTTAAAGGGTTAAAATACCCATTATCTTTGTTAAAGAGGCAGTTGCTTCAACAGCTAACCCTTACCATTTCAGTAACATCAATCTTAATGTTGTATGATAGTTTCACTAACCTGTTTCACATCTCTCCACAAGCACTTCTGCTGTTACTATTTGGAGATCAATGTGATTGACGATGACGATGTGAGAAGGAAGACTTTTGGCAAAATTAACCAACAAGAGAGGAAAAGATACCAACCATTCTATCATCAACAATCTGTTAAGACAGTCCTTGCCACAACCACTAGAACATGGATCATCTGTTAAAAAATATACCAATATGTTCAACGAAAAAAAATCATGTTTCCATGCATCTGTTCAGTAAAAATTGGATCAATGTCAGTATCTGATCAACTGAGCACCTACCCCTCTCCTAACCCAACATTAATCCTAACTTGTTATCAGTTGACTGTGGTTGAATTAGGGGAGGATCGAGTAGGTGTGCAGTTGTTCAAATACTGACATTGATCAAGGAGACCACAGATGATGTTGAAATGTGGTATAAGAACAAAAAAAATAGTGCACAAGGCACAGCTGAGTGTGTCACTGATGTTTGTACCTCAATATAAATGTGGAATTTATTTGAAGAATCTATTTGTTTTATACCATAAAAAGGCATAGGGCAGGTCATGCTCAGCTTATCTCAAAAAATATGATTAAGAAGACCTCAACAGTGGGTTGCTAAGTTCACATACTGTAAAATGCACATAACCATATTCAGCATATAGTGAAGTCTATGCATCAAAGCCATTATCTGACCAGGATCTAAGGTACAATCACACTGCATTCTGTGCACTTCCTTATTGACTTTCTTCTTTCTGAAACATGAAATGAAAAACATGTTGCCCTGGTAACAGTAACAAGTTGTTTGAAGGGTAGAAAACTCAACTATTTTACACTATGAAATAGTTAAACACTGCTAATAGTAATTAAACATAAAACCCACCTGTTAAATAAGTACTCATTCTCCTCAATATGCTCATAGTAAGGTGGTTGACATTCTTCAGCTGAAGAAATGATGTGCTCCTCAGACACCTGGAAAAGTAACAGCATTCATAGGTATTTTCAGGTACTTTCAATGTTAACAGTGGAAAATTTCAGGAAGACCCATGGACTTCAAGATATACTGTAACTATCTAATGCTTCACACAACAAGTGGAGTGACAGATAAACAATATACAAATGGATTTCAGGATGCCATGCCTCTTCACAATGATCTGTTTCCTGTTTGAAATGACTCGGCCTTCAAATATTCACTGCAGTGTACACAGTTTAAGAAAACCACCAAAGTGTTTCACTTTGACCAACTTTCCCGCCGATGATGCACTACAGTTTCTCAAAACTACCAATGAATAACCTTGCTCACAATCTTGGTCAGATTAGTTCTCTTCCCAGCAGCGTAACGATTTTGTAAACTTTGCCCCATTTACTAGAGATACAATTCCAATGAACTAGACTCAATCAAACTGTTTTGTTCCACTCTCATATTCACCCATTTACAACAGGTGTAAAGAGCTACTCTGCATAACTTGTAAGAAATCACTCTCTTATACTATATTCTCTACATTGTGATTGGTTGTTGCTAAGTACTGATTGAAAAGGTTATTCAAGGTTGCGTCAATCATGCAAACCAATCAATGTCAAAAAATCACGAAAGGTGGTGCTTCTAGCTCTTGACATAATGTTCACACTCATCATCTGACATGTGTCATGCACGAATCACAAAGTCTCCGACAACAAGCAGTGTAATGATCAGCAGCAGCAGCTGGTTACTGAAAAATATATACAGCATTCAAAAAGTTGGGTGACCACCAGAAAAAAAAAATTGGAGTGAGACCAACTATAATGAGACAAAGTCGGGCAATTTTACGTTGCTCAATTTAAGAGACATTTTCTCCCACAGAGTTTCCACTGAAACTATTATCTACCTTGACTCTGAATGAGCCAGAAGCTTATCCATAGAAAACAAAGAACACAAAAGAAGTGGGCTGTCTAAAAAGACCTATTTCAGGTTTATGCAATTTTTGACAATTTCAAGTTAAAATTTCCCTTTCTTGTGCCTTTCAGTTATTTATACGATTTATATGCACAAGATGTGTAGCTCAAGTTTGCTAAAACTTTAGGTTAACTGATTTTGTTGTTATCGAAGTACCCCACTGTGTAGGTGAATCTTGGATACATAACAAATTGATGAGTTGGCAAAATATAAGGTGGGATCCCGCCAATCCCACCTGGGATCCCATGTGTGTCCCAGGTGGGATCCCGCCTTTTTCAGGTGGGATCCCGGGTGGGATTATGGAACATCCCGCATGGGATCCCACCTGGGATTATGGAACATCCCGCATGGGATCCCACCTGGGATTATGGAACATCCCGCATGGGATCCCGGGTGGGATTATGGAACATCCCGGGTGGGATTATGGAACATCCCGGGTGGGATTATGGAACATCCCGGGTGGGATTATGGAACATCCCGCATGGGATCCCACCTGGGATTATGGAACATCCCACATGGGATCCCACCTGGGATTATGGAACATCCCGCATGGGATCCCACATGGGATCCTGCCAATTGAAGTTGGGATCCCGCCTTAAATTCCTAATAGCATCCCACCTGGGAAAGCACATCCCGGGCAGGATTAAACCTAGAATCCCACCAATCCGTCTTAGGATCCTGCCTCAAATTTCAGATAGTTTCCCACCTGGGAAATCATATCCCAGGCGGGATTGCATCTGGGATCCTGCCAATCCCAGTTTAGACCCTGCATAAAATTACAGATGGCTTCCCACTTTCAGAAAAATCCTTTGAGGGATCCTGTTTATCACTGGAGACCACAGATTTATGAAATGTACTAGATAGGATATCTTAAAATTAAGAGGATAAAATTTTCTAGGTGAGCTATAGACCCCATCAATCCACTGAGGGTCCAAAACTTTCCAACTAGCTATAGAACATACTGACACCTCCAATGGGATCCCATTGTCTTACCAAGCTATTGATCATAAATGATTCAAACAGTACATGAATACACAGACTATATGTGATAAAGATCTCATAATTTATTTGCAATGAACCAGCATGTGTTTGACTTGTTTCATTAACAAATTTCTTAACCGAACATTCTTAAAGAATAACAGCAAAACTCAGCATATTACTTTTTCTTCATCATTTAAGCAGACCATCTACAGTGTAATAAGGCTCAACGTTTAAAAAAATTGGCTGTTGTGTATCAAAGAATAAAAGAAAGACAAAACCTCAATAATTCATGTTATCAAAATTTTGACAAAGGTACTGATTGAAAGTCTGCTCTCTCTTCAGTCGAATTTTTCAAAGCAAAGCAAGGTCAGAATGTTCCCAAATGTGACTAAAGTAATCTTGAAACCTTACTCATAGATTTATTTCATTGTAAAGTGTAAGCTTAGGAAACTGCAGTATGCAAGCGACCAATTCGATTCTCAGAATTATTTGAGTTTCAGTTGCGCTGAGTGTTAGGTAAGATTAATTCAAGCCGTTATTTCTATTCTTTGATAAGATTTTGATCACGTAACGAATATGGCAATTTGTACTCACCACAAACTTCTAAAAATCCTAGCTTTAAATGGCCACTCGATCGTTGTTTGAACCAGTCGATATGTCAACTGTTAATTGTCCCTTCTTTTAAGTTCACGGCGCCAACGACTTTCTTTTCATTTAAAACACTCACGCTGTTCTCGTTTTCCCATTAAACCACAATAAAACCAATCTTTAGAAGTGTTATATTAGGCAAAACAGTTGGGAAAAGAAACAACTTGAAGCAAGAGCGGTTAACCGATGAAAAGTACATTCAAAGATGAGCGCCAAATGGAGTTTTCTTTGTTTCCGATTACGGGCATGATCACGTGGACCTTTTAGCAAAGAGAATCCGCTGGCTTGACCCATTGCAGTCTCAAGAGGAGCGCGCAACATTATTCTGTCTCTTCTGACCGGTTCTCCTCTCTTAGATGGTGGATACCTTGGATTCATGTTTTGATGATGACATAAATAATGATGTGAATTCACTCTATGTAGAAATAATCGACAAGAATCGAACAAGAATGCACGATTTGTGGCCGAAAGTTTTCGAGGAAAGAAAGACTCGAAACCCACTTGAGTTATGTTCACGGCGAAGGTGAGAAACAACACAAGCCAATAACATTAGGAAGTATAAGAGATACCTAGATGATCACAGTGTACCAGTACCCAAATCAACAAGGCTTGACTACAACAAGCGTTCAGCAACACGTTTCAACACAGTTAGCCATCTCGATTCCTCAGTCGGTCTTTCCAGTGAACTAGCAGTGGTGCCAACAGAGTCAAGTGCGTCTCATAACGGAGAAAACATTTGCACGAGAGACAGAAGCAACTACATGCGATTACAGAGGTGCATTGGAATTCTCGTCTGCAAATGGTTATGCACAGTCCGAAGCGTTACCGAGCTTGGAAAGGGGTGGAGAGAACGAAGATACAAGGTTGTCATTTTATACTACAAGTACAATTTTATACCAGACCTACAAGGTATAGAAAAATTTTGTTGATCTCTGACACAGAGAAGAACAACAAGTAAACTTTAGAGCTGTTATTATTGAACTGTAACTTGTACTTTTCATTTGTATGTAAAGAAGGAATTGTATTTTGCACCAAAAATATAAAGAAGTAATATTTTTTAGGAGGTCCAGTGATTGGGACATTTAAGAAATTAAGTTATGAAAAGAAACTCGGTTTGTACTTCTCACTACTAACAAGTCTTGTTTTAAAAATATTTTCAGATCAGAGTTTCAAATAAAGCAAATTGAAGAAGTCATTTAAAAGGTGTATTTTCTCAAAGGGAACAGTGACCACCTCTGTCTTGTCTGCATGCCAAATATTTGCGGAGTGTGTGGATGATCCATAAGTATTGGAACTCTCACAAAAACGTTTTGTAAGAATAAAAACAGCAAAACAATATTTTCGTAGCTGGGATAAAGAATCCCAGGTGGGATATGTAAATCCCGACCAGGATCCCGGGTAGAATGCATAAGTCCCACCTAGGATCCCGGGTGGGATGCAGGAATCCCGCATTAAATGCGGGATCCCAGGTGGGATCAAATTTTCATCCCAGGTGGGAAAGGTGGGATCCCACCACCTATTCCCAGGCGGGATCCCGCCATTCCCACCTGGGATCCTGGGTGGGATTAAGCCGGGATCCCACTTGCCTATATCAAACATGGAATAACCTTCTGGCCCTCTTATTACCCTGATTTGTTATGGCCTTGGCTATATAAATATACCGCTGCACAAATAAGATATTTCTGACAAAGTTGAAGTCCTAATAAAAAAACACATTTTACCTGGGACATGATCAAAATTAAGGAGTTCTATTTAATTTGTGCTGAGAGAGATATCTGTTTCATGTAAAATTTCACTTGCATCACAGGCATAACTTGCAAAATAAGAGTCATGGCCAAATTACAAGATTTTGTATGGGAATATTTCCAACCGCTGTTAGGTATAAAAAGTACGGTCAAATTCTCAATAAAAATACCTCACCTTACTTCCACAGTATATCGCTTGCTGTCTGACCACTTACTATGTTGAAAAGAACCCATTTTGGTCCAACGCAGAATCCAAGCACATATACTGTAGTTTCATTTCAATTCACTTCAAACTTAACCTTCCCCGTGAAACCGAAGTACGCCGCGGGTTTAGACGCGTACCCATTCATCTTGACGCACGACCACTGAAAACCAGCTTGGCAACCCTTCCTCCTTTATAAACTGAGCCTCGCCGGGGATCACACCGTAACTTGGCACCCGTGGTTCTAAGACAATTTCTTCCTGCCAAGAGACGACTAGATTTCTGAGCCAAAAGACAATGTTTTCGCTGCTTTATTAAGACGCGACAAGTACTATTCAAGATAATTACACGATTGAAT